GAGGTGGGGGTAATCCTGTGCGTCGGACCCTGGCCCCACGTGCAAGGCCAGAAGAGCTGCTGAGGGGATTGTGAGCACCTGGCTCCTTGTCGGGTTTGCGCCCTTGCGATGGGTTCCTCGCCGGGAGACTCCCAAGTCTGTACTGGGCGCCTCTGGCCGAAAGAGGAGTCTCCAGCATTTCCTCTTCCAGAAGTTCAGAAACGCCCTTATAAAAAAATGCATTGCCAGGCTGGAGCAATAGCACAGCGGGTAGGGTGTTTGCCTTCCTCCAAGCCGACCCGGGTTCAGTCCCCAGCATCCCATTCGGTCCCCTGAGTCCCACCAGGAGCGATCTCTGAGCACAGAGTAAGTCCTGAGCACTGCTGGGTGTGATGGAAGAGAGAAGAAAGATTGCAACATGGCTTTAAGCTATACTCTGAAGGAAATGTTTGGAGCAAGAGGGAACCATGCGTTTGGCTACATCAGATGAGAGAACATGTATCTCTTCATGTGAACACTGAGAACCTCAGAATCCTTCGGAGTGCTGAAAAACGTAATGACATTAAAGCAGAAAGCTAGGGGCAGGACTGAGATTACAGTGGGTAGGATGCTTAACTTGCATGCAAAACCAGGTTCGATCCCTGGCACCCCATATGGTCTTCTGAGCCTGCCGAGAATGATCCCTGAGTGCAGAGGTGAGAGTAAGCCCTGAGCACCCCTGGCTCTGGCCCAAAAAACAAACCAGAAAAGGCATTTTCCAGGGGCCAGAGGGATGGAACATTTGCACATGGCCGGCCCAGGTTCAGTCCCCAGCATCCAAGCACCACTTAGGTGTGACCCCAAACCCAAAATTTTATAGATATAAAGAATTATATAAAAAGTTTGACATATATAAATACATATATATGTATATAGCCTTACCTTGCAACTGCCTTACTTGCAACTGATCTGGATTCAATCCCTGGCACTCTAGATGGTCTCCCAGTCCCCACCAGCAGTGGTCCTTGAGCACGGAGCCAGCAGTGAGCCCTGAGTACAGCTGGCTGTGACCCCCCAAACCAGTGAGATGTATAATATTTATCTATGATATATATGTACGTATATATACTTCTTACTGATACAGATCATGGAGTCCACAAGCTGAGAAAAACGGCAGGTTCTTTTTGAACTGACAGGCACAGAGCTGGAAGGCTGGTACAGCAGCTTGACTGTGCCCGGTTCGATGCCCAGCTCCACGTGGGTCCTCTGAGCACTGCCAGCAGCGATCCCTTAGCCCGTGGTGTGTCGCCCAGCCCCCCACCCCAAAAAGACACATTCAGAGAGGCCAGTGAAATGGTACGTGTTTCGCACGCAGGAGACCTGGGTGTGTTGGCTGGCCCCGAATGGCCCCTGGGGCCCCACCAGGAGTGACTCTGGGGCACCTCCTGACATTGCCCAGACAACAACAACAACGTCTACTTAAAACAACAATTAAAAAAAAAAAGATTTCTGGGGTCTGGAGAGACAGTACAGAGGTTAAGGTGCTTGCCTTGCACACGGCCAGCTCTGGTTAGATCCTATGCATCTCATGATCCTCAAACCCCACCAGGAGTGACCCCTGAGCACAGAGCCAGGAGTAAGCCCCGAGCACCGCCAGCGGTGGTCTGAAGACTCCCACCCCACTACCCCAGTAAGTGGGGCCAGAGCGATAATACAGCTGGTAAGGCGCTGACCTTGCATGCGACCAACCCAGGGTCAGTTGCCGGCACCTCATAATGGTCCCCGAGCCCCCCACCGGGAGTGAACCCTGAGCACAGAGCCAGGAGTACCCCGAGCCCCTCCAGGTGAGACCCCGCCCCTCCCCCCCAAAAAAAATGCAATAATGCAATCTCCACAGTAGCTCTCCTAACCCTGAAATGAAGCACCATGGTTCCTTTTTCATAGTGTGGCTAATCCACTACAGTGGCCGGGCGGGCCTTCTGTTTGAAGATGGTGTTAGATTCACTTGTATTTGTGAGAGGTTGAGCAGTGCCATGGAAGCGGTCCCCTGACAGGAAGGAATGTCTCACAGAACTCAAGGGACGGCCGGGTGTGGCCCTGAGCCCTGAGCCCACAACATGAAACATCTGGAAAACGCACTGATGTCTTGGTCCTCCCCCATGCAACTCCACCATCACGCACGCACACACGCACGCACACGCCCAAGGTTATTGATCTCTCTCTCTCTCTCTCTCTCTCTCTCACACACACACACACACACACGTGCGCGCAGGTTATTGGCTTCAACACAGTTGAACCTAGAGCCTAGAACCCACCAACCCCTCCAGCCCTGCCCTGCCCACCCCAAGTGCTCCATTTCTGCCGTGTTCCGGTGAACTCCCAGGGCATTTTCACTCAGCCCTGGGTAGCAGCCGCCGTGGGCCACAGTCAGCTGTGGTGTGGGGCAAACCGCACTGCGTCTAACTCCTGACCTGACTGGCTGAAGGACATTGGAGATCTTGCCAGTTTTTCACTATTGGGATTAAATATGTGAACAGACATTTTTTTCCCCCAGCATGGGGTGCGGGGGCGGGGTGGGGAGTTGGAGAACAGAGTCTCTGAGTGCAGTGGCTAGCGGTCTGCTGGATGCAGGTTTCTTTTCTGTCTGCCAAACCATTTTTCTTTTTTTTGGGGGGGGGAGGGTGGGGGTCATACCTAGCGATGCAGTCTTGGCTCGTGCACTCAGGAATTACTCCTGGCGGTGCTCGGAGGACCATATGGGATGCTGGGGATCGACCTCAGATTGGTCGTGTGTGCAAGGCAAACACCCTCCCTGCTGTGCTATCACTCCAGCCCCCCAAATGGTTTTTCCAAGTTGGTTCTAACTCTCTGCCTTCCCGGCAGCCACAGTGAGCTGTCTGGGCATTTGCCCCTTTGCCAGCGCAGGGCAGTGTCAGGATTTTTGAGTTCTCCTATCCTGATCGGCGCCTCGTGGTGTCTCCCTGTGGTTCTCACTTGCTTTTCGCTCCCTGGTCGTGATAGGGAACATCTTCCCGCGTGTTTCCGTGCCCTCCTCCATACATCCTCCCCGGGGAAATGTCTCTCTGAGCCTCCTGTTCATTTTTCGAAGGCGGTGGTTTTTTTCCATGTGCACTGGGGGAATTATTTATGCGTTCCAGCTCTTGGTCTTTTAACCGAAGGCCTCGCTTGCTGAGGTCTGCCGCTAGTCTGGCTAGCATTAAGCTTGATCTTTGCTTCTCTGGTCTGGCTCTTTCACAGAACAAAAGCTTTTTCTTTGAGGGGGGGAGAAATCTATTTCTCCTTGTAGGGATTCCCCTTTGGATGTCAAGTGTGAAAACTCTGTCTCACTCGAAGTCCCTTAAGATGTCATTCCCCCCTCGTCCCCAGATGTTTTGTGTTTCGCGTTTCTGTGACCCAGTTGGAGTTCATTTTTCCTTTAGGATCTGAGACTTTGGTCAAAGTCCTCTGCCCGCTCCCCTTAGGAAATTCAGTGACCAAGCCACCCCTTAGGAAATTCAGTGACCAAGCCACCCTGTGTGTGGAATGCGCCTTTGTTGTTGTCCCTTTCTTTGTCTGTAATGAGTTGTGCATATATTGATGTGTCTTTCCTGGGTTCTGGGTTCTGTTCCACTGAGCTGTGTGTTTGTCCTTCCACCCAAACACCCCAAATCCAGAATACAGTGGTTTGAGGTCAGCTTGGTTCTTCCCACCGTACGGCTTTTTGAATTTTTGTTTCAGCTATCCTAGTTCCTTGATAGTATATTTTAGAATATTCTCATTCGTGACTTGTAGACTGGGATTTTTTTTATAAGGATTGGGGCTGGAGCGATAGCACCAGCGGGTACTGCCTTGCACACAGCCAACCCGGGTTCAGTCCCCGGCATCCTGTATGGTCCCCCAGGTACTGCCAAGAGTGAGCCCTGAGTGCAGAGCCAGGAAGTAACCCCTGAGCACCACTGGGTGTGGCTCCAAAAAAAACAAAGAAACAAACCACCCCTCCCCCCCCAAAAAAGAAGAAGAATTGTGACAGGTTTATATGTCCCTTGAAAATTTCTTGGCATTTTTTCGTGCTGAGTCTTTCAAGCCATAAATAAAGCGTGTCTCTTTTTTTTATTTCTTTCATCTGCATCCTGCAGTTGTCAGCCCACCATACATCCTGTCCCCATTTTGTTAGCCTCACACTTCCGCGTTTCTCTCTCTCTCTCTCTCTCTCTCTCTCTCTCTCTCTGATTGTCACCATTTCTAAACGGCAGGGCCCACCCGTTCAAAGTTAGCACACAGAATTTATGATCAGCGTTTGCCTTCTCCCTGGCCTGTGGCATTGCCAGACTTACTGATCGATCGTGGGAGTTTTGCCGTGGATTCCTGCGGATTCAGGGGACTGTGTCCTTTCCTTGCCCCACTGGTGTCCTTTGGTGTCTTGGCTCGACCCCCAGTGCCGTGAGGGACAGAGGGAGCAGACGGCCCCACCTGGCTCCCTGCCTCCAAGGAGATGCTCCGGCCTCTCCCACGCGGAGCCACTGTTAGGTGTCCACATGGGGGTGAAGGAGCCATGACGCCCTTGGAGTCGCCTTCGTGTGCATAGACCCACCCGTCCTGGCCAGCTGACCTGGGGGAAAAACTGACTTTCTGGGACCCTCTTTATCCTCCCACAAAAGGAAGCAGAGCCCGGGCCTGTTCCCCCCATCACCATCAGTTGCAGTTGACTCTTCCTCCTGCCCGATGCGGACCCCCTTGCAGTCCCTTTCCCTATGTGTCTCTCCGCAAGCTGTGGTGACAGCTCCTGGCACGGGCCATCCCACGCCCGGGACTCAGTGACCCAGGAACGTTCTGCTCACTCCAGGGCAGAACACCCCGCTCTCTCCCCAGTCCCCTCCGCTCGCCATCCCCGGGCACAGGGCCTGCAAGAGGGCCCTCGTGACGCCGAGCTCGGTGCAGTTCCTGTTGGCGACTGCCATCGATGTTGCTGTCGTGACTATAAGGGACACCCAGTGCGATTTAAGCCCGCCTTTCTTAAAACGACCCATTGTTTTGCTTTGCAGGTTTGTTAAAAAAAATGGACTTGGCCAACCATGGACTTATTCTCCTGCAGCAGTTAAACGCCCAGCGCGAGTTTGGGTTCCTGTGTGACTGCACGGTGGCCATCGGCGATGTGTACTTCAAGGCCCACAAATCAGTCCTTGCTTCCTTCTCCAATTACTTTAAGATGTTGTTTGTCCATCAGACCAGGTAACTAACGCAGACGCTTCCACCGAGGCCACCGGCCTCCACGCCCAACCCCTCCCCCTCATGCGCTCCCACCCCCAAATAGCACTTTCCAAGTCCAGACCTCCACGCCCCCCAGCAGCAGCCCCCACCACGGTCTTCCTCCACCCCCAGACCCCTGAAAAACCCCCTCCACCTGCCGGCTCCCAGGATTTCTCCTGTTCTCCTACTGGCAGAGGGTCCATTTTGGAGGTTCTGTCCATCACCCCCCTGCCGTGGGCCTCATACCTGAGGAAGGTGCCTCTGCCTGTTGCCCACCTGCACCTCCCCCGCCCCCGTGGACCCTTTCTCGGACCCTTTTCCTTTTCTACTCCCCGCCACCACATCTCTGAAAACTCAACCCCCACCTGACCTGGCGGATAACGCCCCATCTGCTCGCCTTCCGGAAAGCCCTTCGGGGTGGCCTGGCCAAACTGTCCCATGTGTACCCCACACTCTTGCTACCCGACCACCCAGAGCCTCAGGTCTGCTCTTCAGGGGCCTCATCCAGCATCTTCCTCCCACATCCCCCCGGGTGGCCCCTTCAGTCGGACCCTTATGCTGGGGGGTGAGGGGGGGGGAGGAGCAGCCCTCCTTATCCCAGCCCTGAAACCAGGGCCCCTCGCTAGTGAGTTGGGTAAGTTTTGGCCTTGGGTTGTCTCCGGTGTTGGGGGAGGGGGAATCTCTCTCTTAGATCTTCCCTCTCCTCAGGACCCTCGGGAAATGAGCAGCTGGAAGTTCGGGCCCAGGCTCCGCACTGCCCACTGGGCATCCACAAGGGGACGTGCTCCTCTTGGCTCATGCAGCTGGCAGCGCCAAATCCAGGCTTCCTGGGAGGCCTTCAGACTTCCCAGTCCTTAAACTCTCTGTTCAGCGCTTCTGATGGGCCCCCTGAATCGCGTTTTCTCGAGTCCCTTCCGCGCGAGTCCTTTGGTCACGAGCACGGTAGAGATTAGGGGAGGCGGATACACTTAAACACTTCTGATGTATTGAATAACAGTGTCTCAGTATTTTCGCAATATAGAAAACCGTAGAGATCAGGAAGCAAATCCAGCTCAGAACGGTCCTGTAACTAAGACGATACCCCGCATCTAAGCTCACCTCCAGCTGGCTGAAGCCACAGCCCTTTCAGCTCAGGTCCACCCTTTCAGCCATCCAGTTCCCCCCCCTCCCCCCGAAGCAAGGCTGGCAGAGGGTCGGGGGTCGTCAGTGGCGCCGTCCCTCAGACAGGTTGGAGATAAACCAGATAAACCAGTCATCCTCTGGCACCTTGGGGACAAGGCGGAGATCCAGGCTTCATGCCAGGTCCCAAGTACCTTGGAGACAGGGAGGAGGTCCAGAGGTTCCGTCTGCCAGGAATCTGTCACTTAAGCCTCCACTGACCAGTCCATTTGGAATGTCGCCAACTGAATTGGCCAGTCCGAGTTCAAGGCGTAAAGTACCTGCCCCGCTTTGATGACCAGGTGTGTCAGGGCCAGGGTCTGCGTCTGGCTCTCGGTGACTGTGTTTGCCACAGATTAGCTGACTCGTACCGCACACAAAATGGAATAACAAAATGGTGTAACTTTTGTTCACACAGAATGGAGTGCCTTCCGTTCATAACAGTCCGTCCCCTCAGTGACGAAGGACACTCAAAGAAAGGTACAAGTCATCGATAATCACACAGGAAATACATGAGAATCACACAGAAAAGATAGATTAGGGGCTGGAGCAATAGCACAGCGAGTAGGGCATCTGCCTTGCACATGGCCGACCTGGGTTCAATTCCCAGCATCCCATATGGTCCCCCGAGCACTGCCAGGAGTAATTCCTGAGTGCAGAGCCAGGAGTAGCCCCTGTGCATCACCAAATGTGACCCAAAAAGAAAAAAGAAAAGATAGATCGAAGCAGAAAGCATTCATGGGTGGCGCAAGGGGGCGGCACAGGGGACTCAGGAAAGCAGAAGCAGGGGGAACATCCTTATGTCTTTTATTTATTTGTTTATTTTGCTTTTTGAGTCACACCCGGCAATGCACAGGGGTTCCTCCTGGCTCTGCACTCAGGAGTTAGTTACTCCTGGCGGTGCTCAGGGGACCATATGGGATGCTGGGAATCGAACCCGGGTCGGCCGTGTGCAAGGCAAATGCCCTGCCCGCTGTGCTATCGCTCCAGCCCCCCTTATGTCTTTTAGCCTGATTTTTTTGCTAAGAAAAGGGTAAGTTTTACAGAGAAATACAGAATAAAAATTATGCGTAAAATATTTGCCTAAGCCCAAATTCCAGGGGTTCCAAGTCCAGGCACAAAGTTAAGAGTAATCAATGCAGATAATGCACCTAGGAAGTCAAAATTAGAGTGCTGGGCCACATTCTGTTTTAAGGCCAACGTGTGTGTGTGTGTGTGTGTGTGTGTGTGTGTGTGTGTGTGTCTGTGTGTAACACAGCTTCTACGTGGCTCACCGTGTGGATCTGGTCTGTCGCATGTCCGAGTTCCCTCTGCACTTGTGTGTGCAGAGTTAAATTGCTGGAGATGTTGGCACACAAAGTTCCTCATTGCATCCACAAAGTGATGGAGGGCTTCAAAGTTCTTGCTCATTATACCACTGAGAAGAGGGTAAGGTTAGAAGCTTGGTCGTATTATATGAGGAGGTTTGTAAAATACACATAGAAGCTCCAGTTTTCAGGAACACAAATGTTATCTAAAGGTGTGGAGATAGCAGATTGCAGGGAGACATTATAGAAAGCATGTATAGTGGCAGAACGCTGCAAGCGTGCAATCATGCAGAAGTTGCCAAGGTCAGTGATAAAGGAATCCACTGTCCACTGTCCTCCCATTGTTCATCGATTTGCTCAAGCGGGCCCAGTAAGGTCTCCAGAATAGGAATCAATATTAGTTTAATATCAACTAATTGTAATTCATCTGAGTAACCAACTGCTAGACTAGTTTGTGGCCCAAGGGTAGTAAATTTTATTAGCAGCAGTGATAACAGGTCATGTGATGTGTTGGTCCAGTAACGCGAACCCAAAACTTGGACTGCAATATTTCCCAAATTTCTAGGGATAGCAACTGTGTTAAATCCAAGCCTCTGGTGCTGGAGTGATATCGCACAGCAGGTAGGGCGTTTGCCTTGCACGTGGCTGACCCGGGTTCAATCCCCAGCATTCCATATGGTCCCCCGAGCACCGCCAGGGGTAATTCCTGAGTGCATGAGCCAGGAGTAACCCCGTGCATCACCGGGTGTGACCCAACAAGCAAAACAAAACAAAGAAAAAAAATCCAAGCCTCATAGACCCGGTAGAGACTTTAAGAAAATTAAAGTCTTTCAATTTTTAGTCTTTTAAACTCTTTTAGTCTTTAAAAGTCTTAAAGAGACTTTAAGATTCTCCCTCAGGGTTCAGGATGGTTTTATTGTGAGGAATCTCCATGCCCAACCCAGTACATAAAAGCCTTTTCGTGTCCTCTTGTGCGGAGACATATAAGGAGGGCAGTTGTTGGAATTCAGTTTGGTGTCTGTTTCCCCTTAACGTTCTGAAGGAGAGCATCCTGAAAAGGCTTGTTAGCACACAAAGAGTCCTGAACAGTGTTTCTCAGGAGTTGTCTTCTGGTCCTGATCCACTAGCACAGAATCAGGTGAGCTGAGACAGCATGGATAGCTTCCAGCTGAGTTTGTTGTAGCTTTTGCAAGGAATTCATCGGCAGTTTAACATCTGTAACAGTTAGGGATGTGGTAGCCATGCCCGCAGGAAAGAATTGTGCCGTTTTCTTAGGTTTTCTAACAGCAGCAGACCCTGTGTGAGAACTGGATTTTACATTATATCTTGATCTGGTCCTAGATGTGGGATAGTCGCCACCAGGGTGTTGTGCCCTGGAAAGAACTTGCCCCAGTACCACGCGCAGTGCCAGGTGGTAACTGTTGTCTCAGTCGGGCGGCTGACTCCCCGTGAGGTGTATCAGTAACGCACAGCGTATAATTAGTCACGACTTTACATCACCGAGCGGGAACACAGTGGTCAGAGGAGTTATCCCAAATGTGTTGATTACAGAAGGTGTAGTGTCCCAGTTTGGACAAAACCACAGCAGTAAGGGGGCTGGAGCAATAGCACAGTGGGAAGGGCGTTTGCCTTGCATTTGGCCAACCCGGGTTCGATTCCCAGCATTCCATATGGTCCCCCGGGCACCACCAGGAGTAATTCCTGAGTGTGAGCCAGGAGTAACCCCTGAGCATTACTGGGTGTGACCCAAAAAAGCAAAAAAAAAAAAAAAACACAGCAGTAATTGTACAGATGATAATCAGTCTGATCAGGCACCAAATAGGGTGATCTCTTCATATTGGAGTAAGGGCATGCAGCTTTGTCAGTTGGAGATGGCCTTTGCGGGATGCTGTCTGTAGGGCGTTTTCTTATCCAGGTGTGATGATTTCCCATAAGGAAAGAAGCCCGTTGTCATTCGACTTTCGAATGGCTTTGTGGTTGGTGATGCCATGATTTGCTGCCATCAGAGGAAAAGCATAATTAACATTATGTCTTTGGGTCTTTTGGAACATTTGCTCAACCGGTGATGGACGGTGTAGTCAGGTCTTCAGTTCAAGTCTAAGTAGGACTTATGATTGCATCCTACCGTTTTAAGTCCGTATATTGTAATAATTTTAATTTCAGTGGTCCTTTTGTTCTTTCGGTACTTCGTGTGGCAGTTGGGTTATAGCTTAGTTGGTAGTTCTGCTGAATATCTTAAACATTCTGCTAAGAGTTTGATTTTGCTACCGTAAAATGGGAGCCTTGGTCAGAGTCGATGATGATTGGTGGGTCACAGGCACGCACCATGACTTAATTATCCTAATAGTCATGTTTTGGTCTGGATCTCTATTGGGAGTGGCCAGGAACATGCCTGTAGCCACATCTACTAGGGTGCATACGTACCAATCCCTAGCTTCCTTTAAGGGCCCAATAAAATCAACTCGTAAGGTGGAATGAGAAGAATTAGGTTTATACTTAGTGGATGGTGGGTTTCTC